ATACCTTTAGATGAAATTTGCACAAAAATGATCAAGTATACAACTTTGTAACATTCCGATATCCCATCCAAAACCGACAATTGTGGAACTGAAAATCCCGCTAGTAACCAAAATATTCATATGGTATATGTGCATGGGCGTTGGTAACCAAAGGTAATCTTCTTACATGAATTTGGCAAGGGACAGCTAAATGTAGCTTTTGAAGTGATGACAAATCAATCCGATATGAGAAACGTTTTCCGCCGACAGACCAGCTGAACGCTTGGCCGGTCTCACTCACGAGAGCCGCAGGATGGATTGCAATGGTACGATACACAGCGCGCCGCTCTACCCAGGAAATTTCTCGCCCAACTAGTACTATCCTTTTCCTTTTCCTTCGGTGTTCCTTCCCCACCACTCACTCCCAATCTCTCACAGAGGCATGGCTGCCACAAAGCTATTGCGTTGCTTCCACCGTCCTCCTCCTCTATACCCAGTTCCTCGCTGCTGACCCACCGGCAAGGCTGGATGCGGGGCGCTGCCGGTGCTTGGTGCTGGTCGTTCAGGTGGCGCGCGGCAGGAGCGGGGAGACTATGTGCTGCGCGCGGTCGGGACGGCGCTGCCGCAAGCCTGCGGAATCGCGAGCGACGGGGAGCGCTAAGATCAACTACCCCAGGGGTTTGCTGGAACCACTTCATTTTTTGCTGGAACCCTTTTTTTATTTTGCTGCAATTGATAGGTTGGTGGTGCCATCGCTGCCATGACTTCTTTTGCTACATCAATTTTTTGCTGGAACCCTTTTTTTGATTTTGCTGCAATTGATAGGTTGGTGGTGCCGTCGCTGCCATGACTTCTTTTGCTACATCAATTTTTTGCTGGAACCCTTTTTTTGATTTTGTTGCAATTGATAGGTTGTTGGTGCCGTCGTTGCCATGACTTCTTTTGCTACATCAATTTTTTGCTGGAATTGTTAAGGAAATCGTTAACTGGTAACTGCTCGGTCGGCTGGTGAATAAGGGATTAATAGGCTAATCAACAAGTTAATCGGCCATTTAATCAATTAATCGGACGATTTATCGGGTAATCGACTACTCGGGCACCCTATAAGTAGGGATTAATCGGCAAGTTAACTGCTTAATCGGATGAATTCTTGAACAGGGGCTGGAACCACATCGATTTTTGCTGGAACCAGCTCTTGACTTTGCTGCATTAGGCGAAGATGGTGGTGGGCCGCGATGGCAGTGCCCGCCATGTTTTATTTTTGCTGGAATCACTTAAGATTTTTGCTGGAACCCTTTTTCTTTTTTGCTACAAATCGAGAGGAGGTTGCCGTCATTTTTTGCTACAATTTTGTTTTTTGCTGGAATCATATATGATATTGGCTGGAACCGTATTTGATTTTTGCTGGAACCAGCATTTGATTTTGCTGTAGTAGGCGAAGATGGCGCTCCAGCGGCGATGAACGGTGGCACCATGTTTTATTACTGGAACCACCTAAGATCTTTGCTGGAACCCCTTTTCTATTTTGCTACAAATCGAGAACATGTTGTCATCACTGTCATGATTTTTGCTACAATTTTGTTTTTTGCGAAAACCATATTTGATTTTGTTGGAAGTAGCAATCGTTTTTGCTACAACCAGCCGAAGCAGAGCTGGAACCGTTACGGCAAGGCTGCACCCGGGCACGACGGTGTCGACGGTGGGAGTGTCCACCGGAGTTGCAAGCAGGCGGAGCGAGGTAGACGGAGGCAGAGGCAGGAGGGCTCACCGGGAGGCAGAGGCAGAGTCGGGACAAAGTCAATTCGGTGCGGGGCGAGGTGGACGAAACGGGAACGCCAGATCGAACGGTTATAATTGCTGAAATCGGTGGTTGTGCATTAACCGGCCCAAATTGGGCCGGTCGTCTGGCGCCTAGTACTCGCCATCCGATATATGCTTTTTTTTTAATTGTCATTTTGCTCATGCCAGGTGGCGTGTTTTTCCAGGTCAAGTGTATCTAACTTATCATTGGCCAAAGGGGTTGCTAGTATGTTTGGTAATTGGTTGAGGGGCTATCAAATATACGTATTGGCTCGGTACCTCGTCTATTCTTCAACGACATGAGGCCAGAAAGCTAGTGCTGGCGGCAATGCATGCAACTATGTGGAGGAGTTATTTTTTCAACATGGGTGAGAACCTAAAGATCTGTTTGTTTTGGCTTTTGCTTATGTTTTTGTAGATTTTTCCACTTTGGCAAAAAACCAAAAAAGCTCTTAAATATGTGTTTTTTTGCTTGGGCTTTTGGCTTATACTATCATTTAACATTATTGATTCATAAATGTGTAATACCTAGCATCCTAAATTTGTACCAGGTTTGTTTCTGTTTGCATGCTTGTATGTTGGTGGGTGTGTGCATCTATGATGCAGAGACTGAAAGTCAAATTTACGGCATCGTCTGAATGCATGGTTAAGTAAAAAAAAGTATTACTCTCCTCTGCTCATAAATATAAGATATTTTGAATATTTCAATATGGATAAGATACAGACTAAAATGAATGAACAAATATACTAAAACATGCTTATATAAATATGATTCAAAAAGAAGTTAAAACTTCTTACTTTCATTTCCAAGAAAACTTGCTAACAAATAGACTGGACTAAAACCAGGTAATAAATACCTTTATTTGGAACTGTATATGTCTAGTTTAAAAATATATAAGAGTACTTCTTAAATATATAGTTTCAAATAACGACAGAAATATAAGAGCATCTTCACTAGGCCCCCCAGGAGCACTTTTTCAGTGTCGGTGGTCGAAAAATGTTTCACTCACGCGCCCACGACGTTAATTAGCGTCGGATTTGACGAAAAACCTGGCCGGCGCTCCCACCCCAAACTCAGGATCCCGGGGGGCGGCCGGGGAAGGAGAGAGAGTGTGTTTTGCATGCGGTTGGGCCCGCCGTAAACCTCCCAACTCCCTCTCTCCCCACTTTTCATCCGGGGTCCATCCACGTGCTTCTCTCTTCTCTTCTCCTTCTCTCCAACCAGGGACGGAGCAGGCGGGCAGCAGGGCGAGAGGTGCGGGGTGCAGGCTAGGGGCGCGGGGCCACGGCGGACGGTGCGGGGAGGCGGCGGACGCCCTCGACCTCCTCCTCGCCTCCTCCGGCGACGCTGTGGGAGGGCGCGGGCAGCGAGGCCTGCTCTGGACGCAGCTTCTGGGCCGGCTCGGAGTGAGCAACAGCGGCTCATCAAACCACATCGACGAGGGCAGGCCGTAGCGGCAGCTTGCAGGCAGTGGTCGGGCGAGGATCGTGGCCGGCCTAGGCGAGGACCGCGGCAGCGGTAGCACGAGGCATCACGGGGCGGGGCGCGCGCGGCAGATGCGGGCCGGCTCGCGGGCGCGGGCAGAGGCGACACGGCAGTTGGCGCGGTGGACCGGCGAGCCGGCAGCTGGCTTCGCGGGCGGCGAACCGAGCCAGGGCGGCGCAAGGCCCGCGGAGCGCGAGCCAAACCGGCGTCAGCCTCAGGCGCAGCAGAGGCCTCGGCCGCCGTTCGAGTCAACGCGAGCTGGGACTCGGAGATGCGGTCGTGGATGGAGCAGGGCAAGATGGGACGGCGGCTCGACCGCGGTGGAGGCCAGGCGGTCTCGCGGGCGGCCTCGGAGGCAGTTTGGCGGCGGAGGGCGAGCAGGCCGGCGTGGCGGGACGAGCGGGCGCGCGCGGGACAAGCTGCAGGGGCGCGCGGGCGCGGCGAGCAAGTCGGCGGGGGCGACATGGCAACGGCAGCGGCGAGCAGGCCGGCGTGGTGGTGGCGGTGCGGTGGAGTGAAGGGGATGAGGTGGCGCACGGGAGAAGAAGAGACAAAAGTGTTGGGGTGGGGAGACGGCTGGAAGAATCTTCGTCCTCAATGTAAAATTTTTGCCGGAGCCTCTTCAGGAAGCCGAAAAAACGCCTTCTGAAGACACAACGGCCGGAGATGCTTTAAGTGTACTGTATATTTTCTCTTATATTTCTTTACCGAGGGAGCATTGTAATAGAAACAAAGTCTTTTGGTTTTCCTGAATCCTGACAGACGCTCGTACCTGCTGATGCAGCCTGGACATCGCTGCCCATGGAGTCCCTAATATGGAGAACGAGCTTCGTGCTGTAGTTCCGGTGGACGGCGTAGAAATCTTGGACGGCCAGCAGAACGCTGGTCCGCGCCACTTTGCCCACCGGCGATCCCAGGTCGAGGATCACCCCAACGTGGAATGCATCTGCTTCGCCGGCGGTGGAGTTTCGTGCTACGGCAGCGAAATCGACGAGGAGTAGCAGGAAGAGGATGGCTGCGCGTGCTTTCTCCATTACACTTTTCTTGTGCTGAGATGCTGCTCATCGTACCCTCTTATATATACGTGACTATTTGTTGCTGCTTGTTAACGATGATGCCGGTGGTCTTCATGGCTGGAAGTTGCGAGGTAGATTCTCTGGTTTGTGACAGGTTGGTTGTTTATGCTCCCTCTCGCTGGATTTTGGCGTTCGTTTTATCTGCAGCAAGGTGCGTGGAACTTTAACCGGAATTGTATCCGCGTAAATAAATCCTTGCATGCATGAGACGAGAAGAGGAGACAAGATTCATGACGGATACGGTCGATGGAATCTATCCTCGCACAAGAAATCGCGTATTGACATCTCCGAGGTGGCGTGCCGACTTAATTGGTCTGCGCAAATAAATGTTGTTTTAGATCGGTGCAAGCTTTCGTTAGTCTGGCCTCTGCATCAGAGGTGCCGATGAGTGTAGATCAAATCAATTTAAGCACTTAGATTTTGAGCCCATTAGGAGCACGTACGCGACCCGAACGAGGACATACAACCAGTGCAAGTTGGAAGCTCAAAGCTCTTGGAAGATGTTTTTTCTGGACGCAAACTCTTACAGTGTTACACTATGCTGTAGACATGCTTTGCCAGCGATTTTACATTACCACTTTATTCATTTTTTTCCCGCACGCGGCACTGAGCACTACGTGGATAACCTCCTCGAGCTAGCTAGACAGCCTAGCCATGAACTACGGCACGCCGTGGCGGTTGATGGCGTCGGTGGCAGCCTCGTCGTCGTCGGTGCGGCGAACGCCAGCGCCTCCTCCCTGGGCACCCCGCTGCGGCTGCTGGCGCCCGTGCAGATTCAGGTGCTGAGTCGGGAGCGCGGTGCCGGGGATGGTGGGCGCGTCGGTGCCGGAGCCGTGGGGGACGTCGGAGACGGGGAGGTGGCCCTGCGCGCCGTAGGCACGCATCTTGTAGTCCTCCAGGCCGTCGTCCTTTTTGTACTGCACGTACGGGCTCGTCTCCGTCGGCAGCTGCACCGAGTCGGCTCCCTCGCCGGCGCCGGCGGCCTTCCGCTCTCGCCTCTCCTTCGTCGCCTCCATTGCTCACGTGCGGATTCCTCTGGTTTTTCTGGATTGGATGCTCGATCTGATGACAGCGAGTGAGTTGTGTCCCTATCCAACACGGCGTGGTCGCCCATGGATTTATACGAGCTAGGCATGGGACGGTGGAGTCGATCTGATCACGTGAGCTGCTGCAGGTCCCGAGGCCACCTAAGCCATTGCAGGACGCCCGGTGGCAAGCGGAGGGTGCGGCTACGTCTACGCGTGGCGTGCGACGGTGCTTGGGCGACACGTAGCTCGAGTCGACTAGGCCGGGTACACTGATCTGCGCCGCAGAAAACGGCGCACACGCCAGGGCGACGACGCTGTACCAGTTGAGTCAGATGAAAAAACAAAAATTAAGTGTAACCTTGTGGGTAGGAAAAGGCTGGTGTTCAATCGACTGATCTTTTGTTTTACGTCCACCGCGTTTTATACTTGTCATGCGTCTTGATTAGGCCCGCACGCCATATCTCTCCTTTATCCTTATCTTCATGGAACAACGCGGTTACTAATGCGTTTCTATAGCTACTCCCATTCCTGTAACTGGTCACCAGTTTCGAAAAGCAAACCACAACAAATGCTATGTTGCAGACCATCCGCCGGTCCCTTTGCTTCACATGTGTCCACCCACGTCTTATCTCTTCGTCTTTCTCCCTCATCTTATTTCTTTTTCAACCCCTCTCTCTCGTATACAAGTGTCCTATCAATGACATGCATCTAGCAGGTGAGGAGGATGGTGATGACGCAAGCTGGTCGGAGGTCTGTCACTCGTCGAGGGCGGCGCGATGGGGGGAATGGCAGTGCCTCTCCTCTCTCACCGCCGTCCGACGGGCACAAGTCGGTGGCGACATGATGGTGGGGATGGGCGGTGCCGCTCCCCCTCACCATCGTCCGGCGGGAGCTCGTGACGAACGACAATGGTGTTTTTTGCAACATTCAATTTGTTGCAAGAAAGATTTCTGCAACATTAGTCATGTTGCAAAATTTTCTTTCGTACCACCATATAAAGGTGAAGGCAAAGAAAAAAAAATTGCGACATCACCTCAGTTGCAAAGTTTTTCTGCAACAATACCTCTGTTGCAAAAAATCAAGACAGAAAAATAAAATCCGTAACACGACCTATGTTGCAAAAAAACCCACAACACAACCTATGTTGCAGAAAAAATCCACAAGATAATTTGCAAGTGTTTCTGCAACAAGGTCTCTGTTGCGAAGTAGAGAAAGACGTGCATCCACTCGATTTATCAAATCCGATGGCTCGCGCGGTGACGGATCTTTTAAAAAGATCCGCCGGCCGACGCCTAGCAGCCCCCTTATGGGTAACATTTATCGTTAAATGATTAGCATCCACTGACGGATTGCTCCCAAACATCAACCGCCTCCACCGCCTACCACGTGTCCATGTGGCCTCGCCCATTCTCCACCTTTCCTTCCCCAAAAGCATCACAATCCTATCGCTCTCGTCTCACGTGGAACAGATGCAGGGCCTCAGCTCGCACGGACATCAGTTGTAAAAAGATTATAAATTTCTGCAACAAGACCTCTATTGCAGAATAATTCCGCAACAAGAACTTTGTTGCGAAAAAATTCTGCAAATTTTCTAACTTCTGTCACAATACTTTTGTCATAAAAATTTCCACGACAAGACCTCTGTTGCAAGGAAAAAAATGTTACAAGACCTTTGTTGCAAAAAATCTGCAAGTAGACATATGTTGTAAGAGTTTCTACAATATCACCCATGTTGCAGAAAGTCCTTACGCAACATCATCTATGTTACAAAAAAATGAAGATGAAAAAACTCTACAACACAACCCCTGTTCGCTCGTACTACGTGTGTCCCACGTGACATGTGCCCCTGACTCCTCAAGGCTTCCCTCAATTTTTCTGCAACAACACTAATGTTGCAGAAGTTTCTCCCGAAACATAAGATATGTTGCAAAAAAATGAAGACTTTTTTTTCAACAAACCTCTATTGTAAAAAAATCTACAACAAGACCTCCTTTGCAAAAAAAAAAAATCTGCAACACAGACCATGTTTCAGAAAGGTAAATAGCGGCTCCGATGTTTTGCAACAAGCATTCTGTTGCGGGGCTTGTTCTGCAACACCCCTCTTGTTGTGAAAGGAAGATGACGCTCGTGGATAGGTATATCGGATGGATATCCTTGCGTCCATCCAACAGCCAACGAGGCGGCGGATATTTTCTAGTTATCCACCGGCCGACGCCTAGCATGGACCATAATTTATGGAATTTATTTATTTAGGATCAAAATGCTTAGGTTTTCGCCTAAAATTTTATAGGTACAAGCATTGTTGTGTGACAATGAATATATTTTTTTAGACATTTACAAAATTCATTTTGGGCGCGCAGGAGCATATGCTCCTTAGAGCCAAATTGGATTTTCGTTCCGGCAAAGCTTAGCCAATGATCTAAAGTCTTCGAACTCGTTCTACTTATATTGTGGTAAACTCTAGGTGTCAGTGTTTTTGAGTAACCCTTGCTGTATTTTAAATCCGCCTCCTAAGTTTCTTGAAATTAAGCTTCAGGCTGCTAAGTTTTACTACTTTGTGAGTGATTGATTGTAAATTTTTCTTCTGATCACCGCCTTGGGTCTGACAATTGGTATTTAGAGCTTGGGTTAGTCCTCCGCGGCGAGCGGATCTGCATGCCGAAGAGGAGTTGGAGGTGCCTAAAATCCTTCTCTTCTCTCCCGATCTATGCGGTGATGCGGTTCCTGAGTTGTTGTTGTTGGTGATTTATCCGAGACATGTTTGGTCAGACGATGGTTTATAAAGCACCTTGCTTTTGTTGTAAAACCCCACCCTTTCACCCAAATTCGGTGTACTCATGGTGGTATAGCACATATTAAATAGACTTGTGCAGTTAGTTAAGAGCATTACCTTTTCAAATAGCCTCTACGTTCATTCATTATCTCAAAGTGAACAATTATTGCATTATTGGTAACTCTTCTCATTTCTTCTTTCTCTTTCCACATGGCAAACAAGGTTGTGCTTCAATGCATCATCACTAAGACAATTGCGCAAAAATGCCTTCATAATTTTCATGCCTGAAAAACAACTTTCAACTGTAGCAGTGGCAATATGCAGTACAAGTGCTAGATTCACGAGCCGGCAAACCAAGGGATACACAATAACTTTCTTCGTCTCCCCCATTTTTTGAGAGAGCTCATAAATATTATTTGTGCTAGAGAATCGATCATCTACTCGAACATTGGCAATGTAAAGATGGGGTGATGTGTAAGGTCCCTCAGGTCTCCATCATCAAAATCTTTCGGATAAAGTCTAGCTAGATCCATCAAAATCTCTAAATTGAAACCTTTGAGTGATTCTTTTGGGCTCAAAGCAACTAAGCATATTGGTAGCTTAGATTTTTTTCTCATTAAAGCGGCTATCATGTTCTTGAAGAAGTAAATCAATAACATCACTGAAACAATCCACTTCATAATGATGCTAATTAGTGATACCTATTTTTTGATGTGCCTTCTTTGGATTGTCATATTGCTCTTCCATCTCCAACATGAAAATCTCTTGTTTGTCACAAAAGGCATACACTTCACCTAAGACTGATTCCATTCATTCCTCCTTAAATTGCTCAAGGAGTTTTTAGTTGACTGCACATAATGTACGACATTTACAATGTCTTAATTCTTCTTTGTAGGGCTATCGATAACGTGTTTGTGATAGTCAATATAGTGGACATAAGCTGCAGATATAACACAAAATCAACTGATTGGAAAAACAAGAGACCGCATGCTTGCCATCTATTTGCATCATCCCTGTCTTCTTCTTCCACATTCTAGAACTCTGATAATTGTAGGGAACAAATCAATCAAACTCTTCAGAGTCCTCTGGTGAGAACTCCATCGAGTGCCTCCAGGCCTTTGAAGTGCTAGCTCTTTATTTAATCATGTCCAACTTTGAAGTGCATCACAACCTATGGCTCCACACACTTGTTTGATGTTGTGTGCGATGATGAAATCAAAAGGATGTGGCGGTTGGAGGTGTTTAAGTTGGCGGGTCTACCTAGATAGGAGGGTTAAGGGCGTCTCCAACAATCGTATGATCATCATTTGTAAAATTGCCACCCATACTATTTTGATGACATGACACATAATAAAAGAAGAAAGAGAATGAAATCATATGGACCTGAAGCAACGCTTGAGGCACAAGCTCCAAGGCAAGCCTGTTCATATCTTCAACATTTAGTGGCACCGCCTGTTTGTTTAACATACGCTTAACATATGCCTCATTGAAGAGCCTGTATGATGTGTTGATGGCTGCTGATCTGGATACTTATACCAATGATTGAGCATACAAACTGTTGCAGATGCTCTAAAGGGTGGTGGGGTGTCTTATTTAATGGAGGGGTTAATTAGGATGGGTCGGGGATTGGCTATGCCATGGCAAAGTGGGACCATAAGGTTAAGGAGGTGAGAGAGTAGCTAGGATAACCAATGGTGAGAGAAGTAAGAGGAAGAAAGAGAGGAGCTAGCTTGTTGGAGAGGAAGAAGAAACTTGAGGAGGGGAGCTACTATATCAGTTGTGCCCACTTATGCAACCTAATTAATGGCGCGCGCCGCGTATGGCCCGCCACTGCTAAGTGTTGTCGACTGTGCCTTGCACAAGAAAATATCTTGTGGGCGGCGAAAACAAGTACCCGCCACTGTTGTTTGTCCTAGCAGTGGCAGGCAGAAACTGGAACCCGCCACAACCATTTTTTTGCAAACTTTGGCCCGCGCGGAAGGATATCTTGTGGCGGGTGATAAATATTGCCCACCACAGCTAAGCTAAACTACTAAAGACCTATGGTGGGCCCTTTTTTCGCTCGCCATTGAAGAGTTTTGCCAATGACTCCATTCTGAAAGAATTTATGAGTGGCGGGTGGCAAGAACTGCTCGCCACTGTAGATCAAATCGCAGTGGAAGGCACAACTTATTACCCACTACTGTAACTATTCCAAAATAGTTGTGGCGGATTC